GTGACAAACTTCGTATAACGTAGTGACAAATTTTCTACTTGGTGAAAAGAATACTTATTGGCAGCTCTCCTGCTACCAGTGATATCAGAGAAAATATTGCTGGCAAATAAGATAGCAGGTCACAAACTTTTCTTGGCAGCCGCATATAATTATAGCATTTTACAAATCTAATGATGACTATGAAAATCAGATGAAATAAAGAAAGATAAATCTGTGTGTGTGTGTGTGCATGTATGAACAAGTGTGTGTGTGTGTGTGCGTGTATGTGAGCATGTATGCGTGTGCATATGTGTGTTTGTGTGTGTGTGTGTGTGTGTGTGTGTGTGTGTGTATGTGTGTGTGTGTGTATGTGTGTGTGTGTGTGTGTGTGTGTGTGTGTGTGTGTGTGTGTGTGTGTGTGTGTGTGTGTGTGTGTGTGTGTGTGTGTGTGTGTGTGTGTGTGTGTGTGTGTGTGTGTGTGCGTGCAGGGGTGGACAATTTGGTCTGACTGACTGTGTTTGATAATTTGTAAAAGGATATCATTAACCTCATAATGCCTCCTAAAGATGAAGGAGATTTCTGAACAACACCGATCAGAACGGTGAGTCTCACGCTTAACAGGGATTAAAGGTGTAATGCTTTGTATTGTGCATAGTCATGTACTAGTGCATATGTAGTATAGGCCTAGTGGCACCTAATTCATTCACCTGAGCAAGACTTCATCCGCTACTCAGCAACACGGAGAGATTAAAATCAGAAGTTTTAGCTATGTTTTTCCCACAATGCACAGTAGACTTGGAGGGTTCTTCATTCACATACGTGTGCTGTCAGTGGCATTGCAGATTATCTGCAAGAATCACCCGAGGTGAAAAGTCATGACAGTTGTCAGCTGATGTTCAGTACTGCACTGACTGCCTGCACATAGGATTAGTACATTTTGTGTACGGTAGCCATTTTGTGGATTGCCGTGATGTTCACGTCATGTTTTCTCTTAGTTGTCAAAAAATAAATTATTTCGTCTGCCTGCCAACCAAATATGTAATCCATATTTTTCAATGTTGATATGCAATTGAAGATTACTTTCCTGATTTTGACTGGTTAGTCAGACTTGAAGAGGTATCTGATTCTGCTTCATTTTTTGAGGTATGGTCACATGATCCAAAACCAATGTTTGGAACAATAAAATATATTATCTAGCCTTTTGGTCAGGTGAGACACCAGATTCTTTGGAATCTGTAAAACAGAACAGAGGTCTCCCAGGCCAAATGTGGGTGACTACAGAAAGAGCTGCTGGAGTCCCACAGGGAAACCACCTTTTTAATTGTCCACCCCTGTGTGTGTGTGTGTGTGTGTGTGTGTGTGTGTGTGTGTGTGTGTGTGTGTGTGTGTGTGTGTGTGTGTGTGTGTGTGTGTGTGTGTGTGTATCTGTATGCTTATGATTGTATGTATGTATGTATGTATGTGTATGTGCATGTGTGGAGGCATAAGTGAATGTGTATAAGTATATGTAAATATTCATTCAACTTGTCTAGGATTTTTGCAACACAAGTACAAAAAGTCTACAAAATGCACAAAAAGAAAAGCTGGAAAAGTGATATGTCTGTTCCTTACATTTGCCAAGCTAAGAAAAGATTTCGTGCACAAGCCAATCCTACCTCTCATCTCCTTCTTTCCATTCTTTCAGCTTCCTTACAAATTCAGGGAAAGACATGTCAACTCTCCGTGTGGGTGGGATGAAGTTACTGCTGTACTGTCGAATCTTCGCCTCATCGTAATATTTAAATTTGTTGTCTTTTGATACAAACACCATGTATTTCTCACTACCCATGTTCTCTGCTAGGTAATCCAGGTCCCATTTCAAGGCTGAATCACAAAGCTTTGTATCTGTTAGGACCACAGGTTTCTGGAAGAGACAATTAGAGAAGATAGTACATTTGTTTTGTCTTGTGTAATCCAACACTCACAGTCTAAGCATAAAATTACATTAAATCTCTGAACACAGCAATTTCTATCATGCCTGTCCACTCCAAGACAAACTCTGGTATTTGATATTTCAAAAGTGATTTTACACATCAGAAATGCACATACACGCCACAGATTGGAACATCAGAGCTGAAAACAGGGACCTCTAACAAATGTAAGTACAAGTTCTGGATGTAAGCTAAATACAGGAACCTCTAGCAAAAGTAACAAGTTCTGGATGTAAGTAAAACACGTATAGCCCATGAAATATGTAGATCTATAAAAAAAATAGCTTTAAAACATAAACTCTTACAAATACAATGAAGAGTTAAGAAGGAAGAAAAGAAAGTCATGAAAATCTAACCCTGCAAGTAAGTGGGTATATGCCTGACTTAGCAGAGGAAAGGGATAAGATGCTGGGTGTTGATTGAACGAATATATCAGGCAGTGCCAGGTTTACTGGCTCTATGTCCCAGCATTTCATTTACAACAAAATAGAGGCAGAATAATAATCTTGCACCTCCCGAGCCAGAAGAAAGGTGATGGGGTTAGAGAGGGAAGAAGAAAGAAGATGGATGTGGTTGAACAAAATAAAATAGACAATAACAGATTTAAATGTCTAACTTTTCTACATCCTGTTCACCTTAAGAACATTATGCTAACTTTTGACTGACATATGATCACCTGAATTGGACTTTATATATGAAATATTTTGCTAAACTGAAGCATACAGAACATGTATGTAGAACTAAAGAGGAAATACTATGTACTTTCAACTTACTTGACTTGCATGAAAAGATGAGTATTATGCAGTTTACAAGCACTGCATCAAGGGTCATATATTCACAAACATCTAGTTACATATAAATTCACTTACAATAAACAGTAAATAAGAGCAATAAAAGCTTGTCTTATCTGAAAATGTACTAAATCATCTATTTCTTACAAAATAATAGGAATATGCAAGATTTAAGGGATACAAAGGAGTTATTCTGGGGTTATCACAAATGAATGCAGATACTGTTAATCTGTAATGTAACAGATAATGTAAATCAACTTCTTCAATTTCAGTAAATCAATAAAAAGACTTGCAACTTGTCAGCATTGTTTATCCACCGGGCATTTCATCCATTTCATCCGTGTTTGTTACTGCAAGCTCTATTCTATGTTCCTTTCCATTCCATATGCTTTTGGGTATCCATCCTACATCAAACCCATTAATTCTAAAAATCATAAAGTTTCTTCTTCTTTCTCCTCAAACTTCTCAATCTTTAAAATTTTGTAGTCTGGAAATCTGGCTGCCAGGTCTCACAACTTATCTACTCATAAGAGGTCTGAAATGATATCATAAATAATTCTAGTTAGCTAATTTTGAGAACACAGTCCATTTACACATTGGCACATGTAGATAAATATTTTTTTAAAATAAAACAACAATGAAGATTTCAAAAAATGACAATCTCAAAAAATTATAAATGTGTCACACATCTCTTATTTTTGTGCTCTATCTTTGCAGACTTTATGAGTACAATCTCACTCTCACTTGCTCTAAATTTTTACTCATAAGTCAATCAGTGGTAGTTCAAAAATCACAACTGTCCCACAGGGCAACAGCAGTGAGTGTTCTCTTAAAATGGGAAACACATCAATTGACAGAGCAGGCATTCTCAGCCAGAATCAGCAATATAAATGTAATTTAAGTTAAGGCCACTTTGCCTTCTGAATAAACAATGTCAAGTATATGCTTCAATGTGACTAACATGAAATGCCAATAACTTTTTTTTCTCTCTCTCTCTTTCACAAACACACATACTTTTTTCTTTCATTTTTTCTGTTCTCTAACTTTTTTTTCTCTCTCTTTTACTTTACTTCTCTTTCTCTTCTTCTTTATAGCCTTCTTTCTTTTTCTATTTCTCTTTTTCCTTCTCCCCTTCATTTTCTCCCTTTCTTCCTTTCAAGTCTCCCTTTCTTTACAGCCTTTCTAGTCTTTCTGTAGCATCTATCTGTGCAATTTTAATGGTGTATATGCATTTCAGGTAATTATTTTACTACCTAATTGGTTTGTATCACTTGAACTGCAGTCATCTGATTAAGATCTACAATAATGAATCAAAAGTGTACTACCTAAATAATAAATAAACAAAATTTACTTTCCAGACTTTACATGGAAATATTTTCCTTCTTTTCCTTGGTTTGAGTAATGCCTTTTCCATGATGAAAATACATTTTTTTCTTCACTTAGAGAAAGTGCAATAAAATTAAAAGGTACAAACCTACAAATTAATATACAAAAATCTGAGATTCCTCATGCCCTTCTCAATTTGCATGACATTCACTGATGCCCATAAATCTTCATGGTATTCTCCTATCCTCATTGACATGCATGGCACTCTCTGACCCTCCTCAATTTGCATGACAATATCTATCAATTCATTTGACACTCTCTGACCCTTATAAATTTACATGACTTTCTCTGATCCTCATTAGCTTGCATGACACCCTCTGACTCGCATCAATCTGCATGACACTCTGGTCCTCATCAATGTGCATGACTCTCTTTGACCATCATCAATCTGAATGACTGACCGTTACCGCTGCACACCGCACGCTTTCTTACCATTCGTGCATACTGCATCATCATACATACATATCGCCTTATTATTTACATTTGAACGCATTTAAACAGAGCAGTCAATGCATAAAATACGAATTGCATATCGCTCCAGAGGCAACGAGAGTGCAAACCCCATTTCCCTATTTATCCTCAAAGCTTCCTCTTCTGTCCCTTTCTGGGCGACTTACCTCCTGGGCAATAAGTTCCTCTGCCAGGGGGTCGTGGCATGACAACCGCGGAATGGGTTCTGTGTTGAAAAAATATTTATTCAATTGGCGTTTCTCCCATCCTGAGGCGGAACCGTTCATTGTTGTGGTTCTGTCATGGCGACCGCGGGCCTAAAACCTTCTTCTCTTGCTTGCTTAGAGACTGCGGGATAAGGTGTGGCTGCTTTTATTAAGATGTTTGGTTATCATTTTCTTCTTCTTGAGGGCATTATTAATTT